TGTACAACTGGTTCTTAAGATATTTAACCGTTTCCATACATTCTAGAGACCCTGTATAAAAATTATCAGAAAACAAACATTTTTTATATTTTTTGTTGTTCCATATAATCATCAACACCAGTATTGCTGGTTACCTAATGGGCACCATACAAGCTTTTTGGCCTATTATAGTTATAACGCAATGTTAAATACAGTGCAGTTCTTCCCAAATTGTATGGAAATTGATGAACAGTTCGCAAAGAAAACTGATAACATAAATTGATTCAATAAATTGTAGAATTTCATTACAATGATTTTTTTACGGAAAGCTTAAGATTAAAGATATGGGTAGTTATTAAACAACGTGTAAAGGATGTTAGTTAGGGTTTGTAAGGAAGATAGCAAACTTGTGACTTTTCGTCCCCAATTACTATTGATTTTTGTAATAATGATTGGGACTAAATGTCACAAAATTCTGCAATAAAAATCACATCACATAATTGTTGCACATGGTGGTTTATTATTAATTACTATAATTTTTACAGTGGTACTTATGACTTCAGTTGCTGGCTGCAGAAAAATGTTCTCGATTACCATAATCAGTTTTATACAAGAGAGATAATTTATAATATTAAATTGTGACATGTCTAAAAGGGCTGGATGGTTTTATTTAAGTTATGATTGAGATTTAATAACTTCTCATTCAAAATTTTTGTAAAAAATAAATTGCAGTATTCAAGATTTAACTTTTAACACTAGTTCGCTTTGAAAACACAGTCGAACAATTTTAGAAAAATTTCTTGTTACAAGCATTCTGAAAATGTATTCTGAAAGTTTATTTTCTGCTGAATAACTATCTAATAACACATTATGCCTACGTCGTCAGAAAAAAATTTTTTTGGAGATTGTTCATAGACAGTTCCAGTTAAAGGTGTACTATTGCAAAATGGGAATAAATATCTAGTACTGCCGACTGCATACTTCATACAAACTGCAGAAACATTAGTAAAGGATGTTAGGGTTCAACACTTGTTAAACTGTATTAACAACAAAAAGTTTGAGTGAAATTTGATAGACGATTTAAAAATTGTAGCTTTAGTAACTGGCTTCCAATCTGGATATACCAAGCATATGTGCTTCTTATGCAAGTGAAATACAAGAGAGAAAGCATTTCAACATCTGAAAACAATATTTCCTAAGCTTTCTGCTGCTAACATAAACCAAGGTAAAAACTAAAATGTTACAGTGAATTTCAGTTTTCATATTATGTACGTTTTCTATATTTAGGAATTTTCATTCGGCCTGAAATTCGAATGAAGGATCAAATGTTCTACGTCTATTTGAATGGTATGGAAAAATTTACTTGGGAATCAATTAGCTTAGTGATCAGTGAATTTTTAGGAAACAAACGTTCCACAAATTATGTCTCATTTAAATTTCTTTGTTGATAATCTTTTCATCGAAAAATCAAGAAAGTCGAAGAAAGATTTAAGAGAAAGACCCAAGTATCTATTCTTTCCGAATACATGAGGCTTTTATAAAGAGATAGATCCTTCTACATATTCTAGGCAGGTTAAATATTCGTAGACATAATTAAATATCTGTCGACAGAAATCTGTGAAACATTTTTTTAGTGCTTCTTGCGCGTTTTTCTATGTAAAATTAGAATTCACTTCATTTTTTTTAATTGTTCACAGGACGACAATATAAATTTGAATATATTTTTTTGACGACATGGGTATATTATATCTTTTAAGAGTTGTTCAGCACAAAATTACCTTTCCGACCATGTTTAGAAAATATATGTAACAAAAACACTGTCATACTGTGAAATTATTAGTGCGTAAATGTCATCGTGAATTCGAAGAGGGAAAAGAGATTTTATGTTGGTTTAGGTCGATTTATAAACTTGCCGCTGACGTTGCTGTTCACCGTTGACGTTGCCGTTGTAAGATACATACGCAGCGAAGGTATGCGTCGTTTATTAATCCGGAATTCCACTGGGGCAACACTGAACGACATGTTGCTTGATACTTGTTGCTTAGTGTTGCCTGTTGTAGGCGTGCGACAATGTGGCATAAAATTTCAATTAATGTCGCTGTATGTTCCTTCTATGGAAAGATTTTGTGTAGCATGCGTCAATGCCGCATGCTACATGTTGCCTCAGTGGAATTCCGGCTTTATATCATACGTTGACGTTGCCGTTGAAAGTTGGCACGTCGTTGGGGTGACGTTCGAGATGATCAACTTTTAACTTTCGCCATTAAGTTGCCGTTGGGTTTTCAACCAATTAAATTGTGGTAGTATACAGTGCTGTCAACTTCAAATTTTGATAGAGATAATGAGGTCCACTATTATATTAAGCCGTTTAATCACCGAAACCCTCATATTTTAAATAGCAGCCATCATTTTCTACATTGTAGCTTTCTGTCCGTACAGGTTTTTTATTTCTTATAGAGAAACAAGGGTTTTGCAATTAAGTTCCGCCCCCTTGGCTCACGACGAATAAAAAAATCATCACAATTGAGATAGGGTGGGTGGGCGGGGCTTTTTTTCTTAATATATGTAGTCATCTTTTCACAACAAGAAACTTAAAACATGTTTAAAATGGTAAATTTGTATAGGGAAATATCGATTTTCCAATTACCCTCCGCCCCTCGGCCTGACAACGAATGAAAAATTTTTTTTGTTAGTTTTCTTTGTATAACACGATTACTTAAGTACATATTTTACATGGTAATTTCTCGTAAAAATAAGGATTTTAAAAAAATCATCAGAATTGAGATAGGGTGGGTGGGCGGGGCCTATATTTTGGTTTTTTTTCTTAATATACTTAGCCATCTTTTCACAACAAGAAACTTAGAACATGGTTAAAATGGTACATTTTTGCAAGGAAATATGGATTTTGCAATTATGAGGCGGAACCTAATTCCAAATCGATATTTCCTTATACAAATTATTTATTTTAAACATATTTTAAGTTATGAAAACAAGTCTACACATATTCAAACAAAAAGGCAAAATGTATGCCCGCCCAACGAATGAAAACTTTATTACTATTTAGATCAGGGCAGATATGGGTGGGGCTTAATCTTTGGCTTTAAATATTTCTTAATATACACACTATTCTTACAATAACACGATACTCAAAAACATGTCTTACATACCCAGTAATTTCTTGTAAAGTAATAAGAATTTTGCAATAAAATTCCACTCCTTTGGCTCTCGATGATTAAAAAAAAGCGTCACAACTGAGACAGGGCGGGCGGGCGGTACTTATATTTTGTATTTTCTTAAATACGTAGTCGTCTTTTCAGAAAAAGAAACGTAAACATGTTTAAAATGATAAATTCTTGTAGACCAATATTGCAATCGATCTGACAACGAATGAAAAATTCATCACAATTAAGAATTAAGATCGGGGCGGGTATGGGTGGGGCCTAATTTTTGGCTTTTTTTTTTTCTTAATATACATAGTATTCTTCGAACAATATGTTTTTATTTTCACGTAGAGAAATAAGGATTTTGCAGTTAAGCTGCGCCTTCTTGGCTCACGACGAATAATAAAAATTTATCACAATTGAGATAGGGCGGGTGGGCGGGGCTACATTTTGCCTTTTTTTCCTTAATATGTGTAGCCTTATTTCAACAACAAGAAACTTAAAACATGTCTAAAACGGAAATTTTTTGTAGTAATCAACTTAAATCCTCCACTTTTCTTCTACAACCACTTTAAATACGGCAAAAGTTGAACATCGAAGTTACTATCAATGGCAATTGAGTTTATAAATGACAATTTTCAACTGTGAAAGCAACGTCAGCGGGAACAGCAACTGCAACGGGAACTTCAACATCAACAGCAAGTTTATATATCCCACTTTTGTATTACGATTTATATGTGTTCCATGACTGCAATTTTTAAATACAAAGTCTCGGACACACCTCTCACAGCGACGTGTATACCAAACCATATTATTGTGATTTGGACCGTATTTAACATGTGCTTTTAATTTATGTAATGGGGAATTTGATTCAAGATGTAGTCTTAATGAAAAATGTGCCTTAATTAAAGGTTGCGGCTTTATTGTCATTTTGATATTTATTTAGTAATGTCAAAATTTACCGGGGCCGTGTAGTAATTCGCCTACCGGATTTAGTCCCCGTTAAGTAAGCATTTTCTGCTTGCCGCCTTGGTGATGGACTATAGCTCCAATAAACGACACCTTGTAACCCAAGAGACTATTGGGGTGGTGTATATCGAGCTGTGGTTAGAGAGAAAAAGCAGAAGGAATAATAAGCTGTATTTATGACATAAATAATTAATTTGTATGTTTTTAATTAACGTCACTAGAACACATTCCGCCATTTCAAAACACAACGTAGGGTTCCATTTTGTGGACTGTCGCAATTCATGGCCAGTTTTCAAAGTTTTCGCAGGTTTTTAAATTTTGTGCGCATGTCTCTATTTTGGTCGATTGTTTGAGTTATCACAACTTGAAATTAAATTTTCTCTACTACAAAGTTTCACCCTTATTTTGAACCTAGAAAGACCTGACGTGAATCATTAATACGTAACTGTTAACACACAAAACCTACCGTTCTGTATCCTTGAGAAACGAAGAAAACTTGCTTTTCTCTGTATTATTTTACATAAGCACTTGATCAGTCGTATTTATGCTGGTACGTATTTAAAACAATGCGCCTGTTAAAAGTTTAAAAACAAAACTTTTTCGCACTCTGAAATAACGTAGTAGCAAAAGAAAACAGCGGTTTACTGACATCCACTCACGGCGCATGCGTCACATTTTTTTTGACATGGGTAACCAGATGACGTCATGACTCAACGATATAAGGGTTATCATACCTTTTCTATAGTTATCTTTGTATAATGTGTTAAATGAACAACTGCTGGGTATAAACAGTGGTGTTTTCTGTTGGCGAAACTCGTCAAACGCAGTTAAAGTTACGCGTTGCGGGTAAGTTTAAGGTGTTGTATTTGAAATATAGAGTCAAACTTTTACCTAAATGAATAAGTTGGTGGCGCTGCAAATCCTTATTGTTTATAAAAGTCCTTGAGCAAGTGTTGCACTCAAACGGACGAACCCGCAAGTGAGACCTGCGATGTACCGTTAAAGCCCACTTCAATTTAAACGTTTTGCCACACTGATCACACATGTGGGTTTTCTCATCTAAAAAAAATAGCAACTGGAGTTGGATTACACACAGTTGTTGAACTTACTTGAATGTGAAATTAAATGTTTATTTAAATTTGACGTGTTATTGAAATTCAGGCTGCACACTCTGCAAGTGTATGGTTTTTCACCTCGATGTATCAAAGTGTGAAGTTTGAGAGATTCTTTACTACGAAAAGCTTTACCACACTCTGAACACATAAAGGGCTTATCAGAAGAATGCAACAGACTATGTCTCTTTAATTTGCTTTTCTCGCGGAAGGATTTTTGGCAAACATTACAAGTAAACGGTTTGGTTCCTGTATGTTTCATCATGTGAACATCTAAATGGGATTTCGTTACAAAGTCTCTTGAACACTGATTGCATTGGAAGGGTTTTGTCTCTACAATAAGTAAAGTTGAGCACATGGTAACACGTACAGTAAATCAACTTACGGCCAGTACAATAAATGTGGTACTTAATATGCGATTTTGTGCTGAACTGTTTATTACAAATGTTACATTTAAACTGTAAAGGATCCTTTATAGTCGTGATATGATTGGGAATAACTATATTACGATAAACTCGCTTCGTTTGTGGAATTTTAACAGTTTTCGACTTATTTTTTCCTTTAATTTTTTGAATTAGTGGCGGCTTAATTTCATCACACTTCTTTTCATCGCTTCCATTTTGCACAACTTGTGAGATCTCTGACTTTTTCGGGGTTCCGTTGCAAGTAATCACCCCAGTGTGACTCTCGAATTTAATTACACTTTGTTGTTCGTGGTCTTTTTCGGCAGTTTCTGGTCCACATTCTGGAGTTTCGACTTTACAATCTGTTGTGTCGTTTTTACATTGGGCTTTTTCCTTAAGACATTGTTGGCATTTTTCTTCGTCAAGAAGAAGACACATGCGGCACTTTTCGTGCCCACACGAATCCCTCACCAGTCTGCTGGCGGCCCCGTTTGAAGTCTTTCTGCATTGAGGACAAACTATCCCGTACATTTTTACATTATAACTCGCTGTTTTTTACAATTAACATGTAGGTTAACAACTGAGGGTTACATCGCTGACAATGTTTAAAGTCGATTTAGGCCATGATTGAATTGCTACGAAAATTGTGTTTTAATTGATCTTGTAGCAATTTTGAATTGATTCACAATAAGTAAATCACGATGTAACAGATAACACGTTGTGATACCAATCAACAAACACTTCTACAGACAAATAATACCCTTCATGCCTGTCACTTGTCAGTAATTGACAATTGACAGTAAAAGGTGCTTTTTGGTGAGGTAACGACGAAACGTGTAATGAAGTTACGTTAAAAATAAACCCGTCCCGTATCAAACGCGTTAATTTTGACTATTGCTACCACTTTTTGATATAATTAATCATATTTTCATATCTGGAACAATTTTTTACGTTACCAATGACCAACTTAAATTTGAGCCGCCGGTTGTCGCGAAAACACGGTTAAAGTTTAAAATAAACGTCACTTTTCATTGCGGCGGCCATATTAACTGTCTCTCTAGCGGGAATATTTAAATTTGACAACAAAATTTACTTTGTATTTTCTAACATTAAAAATCCAGACAATGCGTATTATCGACTTTAATAAAAATCTTTGTTTTTAATATAAAAACTATTTTTCTCATATTACACATTGCATCTTTGACTCAGTTTAATCAATTTCAATAACACTTTGCTTGCAATACCACTGCTGCTTGTTTTCATAGTAATTAATCACCACTTCTGGACACCTTAGATTAACCTGACTTGCAGGTACTAAGTCGGCTTCCCTACAGTTCTTCCACATCATGAGAAACATTAACTCCCCACTTGCGTCCGTTGCGCCAACAATTTTATCAGGTTCGAGCCCGCGATCAAAGCCACGGGCTCTGCTGTCTTCGGTGATGTTTTTCCGTTTATTAGCTTTTTCGTTCTCGTCTGGATCCACTTTAGCAGCTACTTCAAACTGAGCTTCGTATGTTGCTATCAGGTCAGGACAATCCAAGTTTTCTTCTGGTTCCCATGTATTGTCAGATCTAAAGCTACATAGTTTAGTTGTAATGTAACACAATAAAATGTGAAACTCACTCTGTATAGCCTTTCCATTTTAAGAGATATTCAACTCTGCCATTGCGTGTTCTTTTGTCTAGAATTTTTTCAACAGAAAATTCTTCGTGAGGTTCTTCCGGATTTTCCTTAGGTTTAGCTAATGGGGACAATTTTAAATAAATAATTTTAGTAAGTATGACGTATTTTTCACTTACGGTGTTGCCCGTTTTCGATTATGACTTCATAATCATCCTCCTCGTCGATTTTATATCTACTGTGCGACTTCCTTTCACTACGCCTAGTAGGTGTAGAACTGTCTTCTTCGCTTGGTCCTAGTACAATAGGTCTCTCAGGTAGCTCCTCCTCAGGTATGAGAATTAATTTACTGTTACCCAATTCCTCTTTCAGTTCTTTCACATTTTCAACAGCCCTCAGCATATGTATTTTTTTTGTGCGGTCACATTTTGCCATTTTAAATCCCACTGTGCGCAGAGGCACATCAGGATACAATGAGTAAATGTATTCATTAATTTGATCAATATTCCAAGTTAAACCAAACACAGGCATGTCAGGAGCAAAACCTAAATTCATTAAAACAGTGACCAACAAACTTTGTGAATCATTACTGTACCATAACCCATTGAAGTTAAAGCTTCACTTTCTGAACGTGACGGGTATAATTCGGTTTTTGGATACCGTAATAGAAGTACAGGTCTTTTGATATCCACGGCTTTCCGACCTCTTTCCACAGCTGCAATATTTTGAAAGTTGCTTTTAGAGTCCGTGATAACTGGAAAAAGTGCAGGCAAAAATAGCAGGTTTCCCCCAAAACCCCGTTTGATATTTCAGTAGAAGCTTGGATTATTTTTATAGATGGCACAGATTGATGAGACAATAATGAAGGAATTTTGGAAAAATATGAATTGGTAAGGTCAAAATGACCCCACAAAATGTTCCTTTGCTGTTTTACCCTGTCAACCTTTACTTAATGAAATAAAGTCAGTAATTAAACTAACTTCACTTCTGTTACAGTACTGCTTGTTTTAAGACTACTTACCACTGTCAGAATTATCTGATAAGCTACTACAAGAAAAAAAATCAAGTAAGTTTCCGAAACTTATCTGAAGTACTTACTCCATCGAAAATGAGCTTTTTCAAACAAAAAATTTCGCCAAAGTAGTGGTTATTGTAGATGTTTGAGGTTATGATTCGCCACCTACGAAAATGCATAAAATAAAGCGCCGTTTGTACCGTAAATGTTGCCGAAATATTGTATACCCCAAATTTCGTCCTTTCCAATTAATTTGGTTATTTATCTAAAACCAAAAACAAAAAAGTAAATAAAACCACCATCTAATAATTCACTCCCACTCTTTTATTGACAATTTGTGCAACCAATCAGATACTCGTAAAATCACTTGCCCAATCAGTTTGGTTGAATGGCTGTTGACATTTTAGACGCCTTCCGAAATTAATCGAAATCCTCCGACTTTACTGCAATCGGCGAGCTTCGTGCCACCTTTTTCCATTCGGGTCACTTCGTCTCCAGTGTTGTTGTGTGTTGGTGGGGTCAAGTGGGCTAGCAATTTTGGCACGTTGTATTAATTTTTTTGTATTAATTTTCACTTCAAGTATTTTTTAAACGTAGTAATTGCAAAAATAGACACTTAGAAGCATTTGAATATTTAATTGCCACGATGCGACGCGACGGCGAAGACTCTAATAGTGTGAGTATTATTCGTAGTCCATTTCTGACATGGCGGTCGCGTCGGTCTAATGGCCGCAAATACCCAACAATAGGGGCTTTTAAAACCCGAGATGTCCCTTTCTAGGACAAGCCCGAGCCCGAGCAGTTTCGGAAATTGTTCATTGGCGGTTTAGACTACAGAACGACTGACGAATCTCTAAAAAAACACTTCGAACAATGGGGCGAAATTGTCGATGTCGTTGTGATGAAAGACCCCACAACGAAGAGATCTCGAGGTTTTGGTTTTATTACGTACTCAAGAGCGCACATGGTGGATGATGCCCAAAACGATAGACCCCATAAAGTTGATGGACGCGTTGTTGAGCCGAAGAGGGCCGTTCCGCGACAAGATATCGGCCGACCCGAAGCTGGCGCTACGGTGAAGAAATTGTTTGTGGGAGGGTTGAAAGACGATGTGGAGGAAGAAGATTTGAGGGACTATTTTAAAACGTTCGGGACTATTTTGTCCTGCACTATTGTGACAGATAAGGACACAGGAAAGAAGAGGGGCTTTGGATTTATTGAATTTGAAGACTATGATCCTGTAGATAAAATATGCTGTGAGTACACCTGAGGAATGTTTGGTTAATTTTCGTTTGTCTGCTTGTGTGTGAAACATCTTAATTTTTTTGTTTATTTACATTTGTTGTGTTTATGTTAGTAAAAGTTGTTTGTATAATATTTACAGTAACAAATTTGTTATGGGCAATTAATTTCGTGCAGAATGTTTGACTAAACCATAAACAAATTTAAATTCAGTTGTAAACAGGTTTGAGTTCCACTCAGTTTACAAACAATAGACGTGTGCTTTAATTGAGGCGATGTTGTTGACAAAATTGTCTGTAGCCTTAAAAAACACTGAGTTTTGGTCGAAAATTGGAAAATAGTAAGTGAAACAAATTTGTGAAAATTTGGCAACCCCCAACACACAAGTTGTATGTTTTAAGAAACGACCTACGTAATTAAGTGACATAATATGCATAGTATTGTTGTTGTATGTTTGTTTTTGACATATAAGGTGAATTATAATAACATAATCGCCGAACAGACGCAGTAATAAATCACGTGATTAACGCTTTGAGCAATGAGCCTAGCGTTACTATCGGTTAGATAACACATTTTGAAGTCTTTATATTTATAGTTATAATAAAGTATGGATTTAAAGTTAAACTTCGAAATTTTCTGAAATGTTGGATTGTGTTAAATTCGAAAAAAAAACTTCTAATAAATAAAAAAATGGTTTAAGTTGTTTATATCATTTCCTCGCTCCTGAAGTACATACATATTGCGAGTCCAATTTCTTAGATAAATTCCAAGATTTTATTCTGAAATTTTTATTTTTTTATGATGACCCATATAGGCTAAAATTAGAATAAGTGTTACTAAATTAATGAGTAAACAAGCTATGCAGATGTTTCAAATAAGTAAAATTTTGTAATGACGTCGTTAATTTTTTAATAGGACAAATAACAAGTGATCAAAAAGTTTTCAGATTAGCGTAACATATTTTTGATTTTTTTTTTATTAAAAATCAAAATTGGAAGTTACGTTTCTATAGTTTCTAATGATATAATGTTGGAACAGCGAATTTATATTTTTTTGTTTATTATATTTTAATACCAATAACAACAGTGTTGTCTCAGATATTTTAAATAAGATTTATCTAGCAAAATTTTCAGATGACGTCGCTAAGTTTAGCATATTTTGATTTTATTTTCCAAAAATCTGATGAAAGTAGATAACATTTTAATGACAGTACTTTTAACCGCGAGAACCATTTTTTTTATTTCAAAAATTTAAGTCTTAAATATACATATGTATTATGTATATATTTTATATATGGATTTTAAGTGTGTGGAATGTGATAATCGTTGTAAATTTTAATCGAGTCCATTGGACGACTGGTTCTTTTGTTTTTTCGACGTTTCATGACCCCGAGAATAGGAAAAAAATAGGTATGCCGTCCGTCCAAATTTTTATTAGATAGATAATCTCTGAAACTACTGGAGCGATTGTTGTCAAATCGTGTCTTAAGAACATCGTGTAGATGGTAAAATGCTAACAAACATTTGGATAAACATTCCCACCAAGAATAGGGTGACGTCATCTCAAAAATTTACGTTAGTAAATATTGTTTCAATTTTATACAATAAGATAATCCTTCACATGTGGTTTATGAATCCGTGTTGAGTTTTTACCCGAAACGTCCAAATTTCTGGAGGAAAAAATCAATTGTATATAACAACATTTGGTAATTTAACTTTAAAACTGCAAAACCGAATGCTCTGAAATCTTGCAAACGTTTTAAGATTATTGTAATCTTGTCCAAAAAATTGATCGCCGAATAAATCCTCCCTGAAATATGAAAAATATTATGACCTTATAATCGTGATTTATCAATGCATTCATAGGTTTTAGAATTACTTATACAGGGTGACTCAAAAAAATTAGTAAATGAGGCAATTTATTGTATTGATTAAAATCAAGAACGACTCACTCATGGATACAGACACCAGACAGACGGAAACGGGAGACTATTTTTCTCGTACTGTAGGGGTCATGAAACGTCGAGAAAATATAAAAGTGGCCATTTGTCCGATGGACTCTATTACGCTCGGGACGTAAAAATAAAATTCGCAAAATCAAATCTTATAATCTTCCGAAAAATTAGGATTCATGATTTTGATTTTTCAATTTTTCATTTTCCAGATTTTTTTCATTTTCTGGATTTTATGTCACAATTTTTTATTTATTCAATTTTGCAATTTTTGGATTTCGCAATCATTCGATTTTGCAATCGCAATTTTCCGATTTCTTTAATTTTCAATATTTCGATTTTACAATATTTCGTTTTTCGATTTTGCAGTTTTTGGATTTTTAAGTTTCTCAATTTTTAATCTTTCGATTTTTCAATTTTTAATTTCTTCAATTTTTCAAATTGTTGATTTACAGTTTTTAGATTTTCCAATGTTTTCATTTTATACTTTTTTGTTATTTAATTTTTGAGTTATGCAATTTTTCAATTTTTTTTTTCGATTTTATATCACAATTTTTTGTTTTTTCATTAGCTTTATTTTTTTAAAGTTTCTTTCGAATTTATAATTTATCATTTATTCGATTTTTCAAAATTTCAACCTTTGGTTTTTCTTTTTCCCGATTTTGTAATTTTTGGATTTCGCAATCATCCGATTTTGCAATTTTTGGATTTCGCAATTATCCGATTTTCCGATTTCTTTAATTTTCAATATTTCGTTTTTCGATTTTGCATTTTTTTTCGATTTTTAAGTCTCTCAATTTTTAATCTTCCTATTTTTCAATTTTTCAAGTTCTTGATTTCCAGTTTTTAGATTTTCAAATGTCTTCATTTTATACTTTTTTGTTATTTAATTTTTGAACTATGCAATTTTACAGTTTTTTTTTTCTATTTTATATCGCAATTTTTCGTTTTTTCATTACCTTTATTTTTTTAATGTTTCTTTCGAATTTATAATTTTTCATTTATTCAATTTTTCAAAATTGCAACCTTTGATTTTTATTTTTCCCGATTTTGCAATCGCAATTTTCCGATTTCTTTAATTTTCAATATTTCGATTTTACCATATTTCGTTTTTCGATTTTGCAGTTTTTGGATTTTTAAGTTTCTCAATTTTTAATCTTTCGATTTTTCAATTTTTAATTTCTTCAATTTTTCAAGTTGTTGATTTACAGTTTTTAGATTTTCCAATGTTTTCATTTTATACTTTTTTGTTATTTAATTTTTGAGTTATGCAATTTTTCAATTTTTTTTTTTCGATTTTATATCACATTTTTTTGTTTTTCATTGGCTTTATTTTTTTAAAGTTTCTTTCGAATTTATAATTTATCATTTATTCGATTTTTCAAAATTTCAACCTTTGGTTTTTCTTTTTCCCGATTTTGTAATTTTTGGATTTCGCAATCATCCGATTTTGCAATTTTTGGATTTCGCAATTATCCGATATTCCGATTTCTTTAATTTTCAATATTTCGTTTTTCGATTTTGCACTTTTTTCGATTTTTAAGTCTCTCAATTTTTAATCTTTCTATTTTTCAATTTTTCAAGTTCTTGATTTCCAGTTTTTAGATTTTTCAATGTTTTCATTTTATACTTCTTTGTTATTTAATTTTTGAACTATGCAATTTTACAGATTTTTTTTCTATTTTATATCACAATTTTTCGTTTTTTCATTACCTTAATTTTTTTAATGTTTCTTTCGAATTTATAATTTTTCATTTATTCAATTTTTCAAAATTGCAACCTTTGATTTTTATTTTTCCCGATTTTGCAATTTTTGGATTTCGCAATCATTCGATTTTGCAATCGCAATTTTTCGATTTTGCTGTTTTTGGATTTTTAAGTTTCTCAGTTTTTAATGTTTCGATTTTTCAATTTTTAATTTGTTCAATTTTTCAAGTTGTTGATTTCCAGTTTTTATATTTTCCACTGTTTTCATTTTATACTTTTTTGTTATTTAATTTTTGAGTTATACAATTTTTCAATTTTGATTTTATATCACAATTTTTCGTTTTTTCATTAGCTTTATTTTTTTTAAATTTCTTTCGAATTTATCATTTAGGTATCATTTATTCAATTTTTCAAAATTTCAACCTTTGGTTTTTCTTTTTCCCGATTTTGTAATTTTTGGATTTCACAATCATCCGATTTTGCAATTTTTGGATTTCGCAATTATCCGATTTTCCGATTTCTTTAATTCTCAATATTTCGTTTTTCGATTTTGCACTTTTCGATTTTTAAGTTTCTCAATTTTTAATATTTCTATTTTTCAATTTTTCAAGTTCTTGATTTCCAGTTTTTAGATTTTTCAATGCCTTCATTTTGTACTTTTTGCTTATTTAATTTTTAAATCATGCAATTTTTCCATTTTTTGATTCAAAATAATGAAAAATAAAAAATTGGAAAAAACGAAAAATCGAAAAAGTGGAAAATCGAAAAATTTCATATCGATAAACTTAAAAATCGAATGAATCAATGAATCGAAAAATTGTAAAGAAGAAAAAACGAATCGAACCAAAAAATTGTACAATCCAAAAATTGTAAAATCGAAACATTATAGAATCGTCAAAATTGTAAAATCGAAAAACTATAACATTGATAGATTGAAAAATTAAATTAAAAATTCGAAAATTAAAAAGCACAAAATTGTGTCAGTTTCCGAAACTATTGGACTGATTGTTAGTTTTATTTGTATTATTGGAATATCGGTGTATTTGGTAAAACGATAACCAAAACTTGTCTGATTATTCCCATCAAAATTTTGATAACGTCACCAAAAAAATTGAACTTGTGTTTTATGAATTCGCTTCGATTTATTTAATTTATAGGGGTTATTAAGAAAAAATTAAATTTCGCAGAATCAAATTTTATCATTTTTCGAAGAACCTGTTATTTATTGGACTGTACTTCGGGAGCGAGGCAAATTCTCACTACTTTCTTAGACCAAACGATTCTTACGAAACAGAAAATATATTTAAAATTTTCAAAACTTCCCAAATTTTATGTTTTTCTAGCATACAGGGTGTCTCAGAAATAAGTACATGAATTTTAACCAGTAACAGAACTCGTGAAACGGAACAACTTTTTTATCTAGCATTTTTTCAAAAACTCAAGTCAAATTTCGAATTTTCCCACCCATATATTCACGAGCCGTCTATGTTCACCTTAAATAATAACTTAAATAATAGCAACACTACAACAATGAAGAAGGTACCGTAGCAACCGTTTTGACACTGACAATCATTTTTATGTCAATGTTTTTATTAAACGTTGTCTCTTTAAAGTTTGTTTGGCACAGATTTCTAATTTATAGACGAAATGTGTTGAAATGGCTTTGTTTTCAAATCTGGAATGCACCGATATCGTTTTAACGTACGGTGAAGCTCCGGGAAACGGCACTCGCGCCCAACGAATTTTTTCAGAAAACCTCCCAAATCGTCTGCCAAATGTGCGCAGTTTTAAGAACGTTGCAGTATTTTCGAGAGTACGGATCTTTTAAACCTGCACCTCAGGATCGGGGTAAGTGGTAAGTTACGTAGTTATAGAATTGCTAATACTGAAGAGGCTGTTTTGAAGAGTGGGCACTAGCACGTATCACTGTCTAGTGTGATGTATCGGAGAGTAGTATTTGGAGGATACTCAGAGAACAAATGTACCCCTTTCAGGACCAGAAAGTTCAGTTATTGAAACTAACAGACTTACCACGTAGGCAAAACTTTTGTGAGTGGGTTAATAGAAAAATAAACGAACAAGCAAATTTTGTATCTCTTATACCATCAACTGATGAGGTCGGTTACACGACGGAAGGTGTTCAACACCCACATTTGGGCCGATGAAATTCCGTACGCCATTAGGGAGCAGGATTTTCAATTTCTCTCTAAATGTTTGTCACATTGACAAGATTAGGAAAATACGTATCCTAGTAACTGTTTTTGACCATAAATTATTAATTATAATAATTATTAGTGTCCATGGGTGACTGAGGATCCATGGGCGGGTAACCTTAATTGGGGTATAACTTTAACAATTTTTAACTTGATAATTAAAAAGTTCTTGACAAAACTCTACTAAAAAAAGTTGTTGAGTTCAATGAGCTCTATAACTGATTAAAATTAATGTACTTATTTCTGAGACACCCTGTATATTTGTCAGTTTTTTAAAATATAACACTAACAAGTAATATACATATTTCAAAATATAACAGAATTTTCAAAACATACTTATTATCGTTCCATTTTCATTTTTGATGTGTTTTTGAGAACCCAGGCTTTGCCTTCCGAGTGAACGAATCCGTGTTATTTTCTGTGTAGTACACAGACACCATCAGATCCACGGGAAACACATCGACGTAAAGAAGGCCCTCAGCAAGGCCGAGATGGACCGCGCCAACCAGGGCGGCGGTAACATGGGCGGCGGCGGCGGTCCCCGCGGAGGCCGCGGCGGGGGCAGGGGGAACTACGGCGGCGGCGGCGGCAACTGGAACCGAGGGGGGCCTAGCGGCGACTGGAACAACCCATCCGGAGGCTACAACAGCGGCGGCGGTAACTGGGGTAACAGCTCATGGGACAATCAGTCGGGCAATAACTGGGGCGGCCCGCAAGGCTCGGGCTACAACTCCGGGGGCAGCTGGGGTGGGCCGAACGACAATTTCGGCGGCGGCGGCGGATACCAGCAGAACTACGGGGGCGGCGCCATGCGGAACAACTACCAGCAAAACAGGCCGGCTCCATACAGTAAGTATCGATTTCGTTTGGTGCATTTTCGTCGTTCTAACTTTATTTTTTTGTGTTGTTGTGTCTGTTAAGAATCGTTAAAGGCAATTGATAGCAGGAAGAAAATGGATTAATAATTACACATACACACACAGACTGTTGGTGAGTTCATCATGTATTTAAATTTAGTCGTAATTTATGATTATTTGGGAGTTTCATTGATTTTTTTTTGTAACTGAATAACAGCTGTGGGACATTCTGTTGAATTGTATTGCACATTGTGGCTGTGTGTGTATTTTGTGTTTGTTTTGTATGTCGGAACACTACATGTCACGGTGGCTAATACAATCGAATTACGACTAAGTTTTCAACTGAACTTGCCAAGATTTGTACAAAATTAGGATTTTGAATAATCGTTCGGTTTTTCAGTTTTTAAAATTTAAGTTAAGAGATAACCTGAAATCGTAAGCTGATATCCCACAGGTGCTCAGTTGGGGCAGTTTAGTTGCAAACACTAACATCTGTTGATTAACATGCTTAATGGGGTACTTGCATGATAGATGCATACTTAACTACGTAACTGTTTTGTTGATTTGGCTTCAATTTTTAATAACTATTTTTGTAGTTTTTAACCAGCAGCTAAAAACCTTACTTATACAAAAGTCAACACAACAGATACTTTAGATTTATTAATTACGGTATGTAGAATTACTTAGAATCTGTTTAAAGTACTATCACTTAACTCGTTTGTTCGCAGACAACTTGAATCTACATTTTTTCAAAATTACACAACTCGTGAATTTCATTTATTTGAAAAAACGTCACAAATTGTTAAAAGGTTCACTTTGTTTGGTAGATACTAACATCTCGAGATTATTCATACTGCGATCGCAAAATAAGTAGCCAAATTTTACTACGTCGTGCTGGAGTAAAAAATGAACAATTAATTAATTGTTGTCAATGTTGGCAAAATTGAGGATCTTTTGATATATTAATTTTTTCTCAGTAACGCCACACTTTCGGACAATAACGACTGAAATTTAGATACTTATTTTACGATCAGCCTGTATGTGGCACATGTGAAGCGTTTCTATGTGTTCATTTATACAAAAAAAAACTTGACAATTTTGTTATTGAAATTTTTAGGAAAAGATTGCGAATTTTTTATTCATTTAAAAAAATATTTTAATTTGGGGTCTTTTTCTTAATGTTTTGGCTAAACGTCAAAATTAATGTCACTGTGCCACAAATTTTTGAAATTTAAATATCATTAATTGCTAATAAAATTGCAGCAACCGTGATAAACATTTTTAAAAATTAATTTTGATCAAACTCAAGAATTGTGTAAAAGTTAAAGTACAAACTTGAAAATGAAAAATCGATTATGCCATTGAAAAAAATTTGGAAATTTAAGAAATGTTCATTTTTTATTAATTATAACTAATGAAAAAATTATACAACAAATTTATTGGGTATTTAACAAAAAAAAAAACGTATTTAAAATGTGAATAATCTCACAGCATTAGTATGGAATCACTTTGTATAAACTATAACATGAAATATGTTGTTTGTTTTATTGTTGTCTGGGAGTATTGGTTTGTTGGCGAACTGCATGATTGTATCAGGAAATTTTATGAGAGATGTGATACATAAAAAAAAAAAATGACAGATAGATTGAAATAAAAGAGCAAAAATAACGTTTTGAAAAATTGGTGAGACTTTGATATCAGATTCTAATAAATCACATCGAGCATGCAGTTCCCCTTTGAGCGACGCTTGACTTCATTGCATGTTTGATCCACCGATGGATATCGGCTTTGGATATTTCTCTCCCTTCGCGCTTCCCGCATGACCTGGTAGACTAGCCGTTAAAAATGTTGCTGTGGTGTGCACGTCGTAGAGATAGTAGTAGAATTGAGTGTTTTCTGTTGTAGATAATCCTGGCGGTGGATATGGAGGCAACTATGGCAATCAAAACGGTGGCAATATGGGCGGTCCAGGCAACAGGAGATACAATAACATGTAAGTGCAACTGGACAACGCTGTTAAACAGTGCCAGGTGTACATAATATCTCATATCTGAATTCAAAATAACATAGCAACATAAATAATACATAATAAAATGTAGTTTACCACCGGAATATTAACACGTTTCTGTGAGATTGTCGCGGTGAATTTTTGATGTGGCACTATAGGGTTTTGCCATTTCAAAAATACCAAACAGACACTGAGGTGTTATTTTAGTGAATCTTATGTGTATCCTGTTTAATTATAATTCATTGGTCATTACATTGGTGTCCAAAAATTTTAATGCATTACGACGCGAGTTTGTTAGGCCATTGTGTTAGATTTAGGTTATTATATTAACTTTTGTGTATTTTGGTTATTTATTAAAGTCGTATAATTATGAAACTAGTATTTTTCATGGAGTATTTTACAGTTTAGAGGTTAGGTTAGATATCATTTCTATCAAACTAACCTAAAATCTGTAACCCATCTCATTCTTGAGGATTCTTAATGGAAATATAATACTTTTTATTTGGAAAGAGCAGAAATTGTAGGTGTGGATAGGATTGACGTTAGGAAGAGACAGTACAGTTAGTGTAGACTGAATTTGCAGTGATATATCTGTGTAAGCGAGCAGGTTAATGTATAGGTATGTATAGTTTTAGATACGTTCTAGGATGTACAAAAATATTCTACTATTTAGCTCAGGTTTCTTTTACATGCTAAAGGAGAAGTGTGTTTTACTCATATGGGAGCAGCTAGAGCACTGTTAGACTTTGTAAACGATGTAGGTTATCATTATGGCGCAAAATGTATGGATAAAAATCATTAACAAGTAGAAAGCTAACCTGGGTTAGGTAGACACACCGATTTTGTCACCTCATTCACATCATGTCTAAGGGTTTGCGTCGTTCTTTATCGACGGGATAAAACAGCGTGATTTAGTTAAGACTTTTTAATTTTTCAAAAAAAAAAATGCCACCCCAGCAGGACACAGTTTTTCCTTTAGATTTTTATTTAAAACAATTTTAAATTTATTTGTTCAACACGTACTAGAAAAATATTTTTAGAGATTAGTGCAGACAATAGTTGTCAAATCATTAGGATTAAGTAATACTTTGATTACAATACTATCTTATAATGCAGTGCCTAACAATAGGTAGATACTGAATAAATATAAAAATAAAAAATAAACAATTTTTACAAGACGCACTTTATTTAATGCTCACGTTAGTAGTTGATGGTGTTGCAAAAAATTATCCTAAAATTAGAATTCGAAACGTTTCATGATTAAAAAAAAAATAGTTTAAAATGTTGTTTACAATAAATGCAAACATTTAACAATGATTTTAAAACTTTTTTTACGTTGTTAATTTTCAGTTGCTATATTAAGATTTCTTTCTTTTTTTTTTTTGAAAAGTTAAATTAATACACTTAACTGAATCACGTTAAAAATGTTGGAATAAAAACAGGATCACAGCCGTAATATTTTTCGTGTTTAAAATTAATTCGTACAAGATTTTTAAAATCGTGTTATTAACTAAAATAACGTAGGTGTTAGGTTTTTAAAACGACGTTAAAATTATAAAAAGAAAATCCAAAAAAACAACTAAACAGCTGTTTTTTTAATACAATATTCATTTTTATACGACTAGTTATTTCCTGAAATTCGTAGGAACCACCATTTATTCTAAAGATATAAACATGAAATAAAAAGGTATATTGGCGTTAGCCCGAATAAATCGGATCTAACATTTACATAAATTCCAAGGCGACATGCGTCGTGTCATATTAACGAGACTCTTCACACGGAAGTGGCCTAAATGCCTAATGGGCTATAAAATTTTATTAGTAAACAAAAATAGTGAACAATGCACTCTTATTTCGTTTGGCTTGTAATGTCATCGTCGTGCCTCACCAAAAATGAATATTGTACAACAAATTGAATGCCATTATTCGCGACATGCTGCATAAATCCGTCCGTGGTCATGTTTTTATTTACCTTCATTGGTTGCACGATCCTCGCGGTTGTTTATACGTCGCAGATACCTTCAGCCGAAGATCAGCCTTTTTATTTTTTGCCATTCGTTTTATTTTCAAACAAATCACTGTTTAATAAAACACAAATTTTGCCATTTTTATTTTTAAAATACTAATTGAATTTTGTTTTTTGGGGATCCAGCTCGATTCGTTGACCGCCGATTGGTTGAAAAAATGGTGAGTATTGAAGTGACTTGCCGATGTAAGTAAAGTTGTAATAATGCGAAAAGTACGTCTGTGGGTGTGTCTCTGTGAGAGGTTGAGTGGAGTTAATTTTATTCAGAAGTTTTATAATAGTCGATTTTTCCTAATAAAGTGTCGTTGTTATATTGCCTTTATTTTACACCCTTGAAGCCCCGAACTGCAATCAAGTCGTCCGAGCAGAAGTTAAGCTTGATTGCTTTTCTTCATCAGGATCTCATCTTTCGTCCCATTGTTAAACCGTCAATATTTCCGATATATACATAGTTATTACATCGTGGGGAATTACTGGAAAAAAATACAACGAGAAGAAAATAGAAATTAAGTGGAGGGTCAGTTTTAAAGGGATAAAATGATGCGCGGGAACTTCCACCTGGTGAGGTAATCTGGCCTTTTGTTAGAAATGCACGCTCCGTTTGTTCCAATGATTGTTGAGCACGATATTTATATAACGATGGCCACAATAAAAGCTCTGTTTAACGGTGCTTTAGTACTAGATTACGTTTATTTGTGGTATTTATTTACAATAATTAGTTACTGACTAGAGACGCATATATAATAATAATTCATACTATTACAGAATGTTGATTTCTTCTGAAACGGCTTCACAGCTTGGGGTGGGCTTGAATACGGGGCTGTTTTCAGAGTTACTAGTCTGCAATATCGGGAACTGAGTTTGCAGGGTTGGGGTGACGTGAAAACACGGGCCGTCTAAGCACATTGGACAGAAACTACCGGGAAATGCCCCCAATAGCTTCCTGAAAATACATATCAGCATGTTAATAAAATTATTACTTAATTTAGGTATTATTTCATTACTTCCACGCAAGTGATGAAGAGATAAGATTGATAATAGGGAAATAAAAGTAAGTGGCTTTGGCGTACGCTAATGAGGGATCTCAATAAAAATAAGGTTTTTGTTCAACTACGTGGAAAACCGGAGGGTTAATTTTATTTGTATGATTTAGACCTTATCGCGTAGGCAAGCGCCGGGTGGAGGGTGAATCTAGATTGAAAGATAAGGTGACAAGGGATTAAAATGCTGTACAAATAAGCGGGAAACGAGTTCAAGGCGATGTGGTTCTTGTAATTACACAAATTTTAATTTATGAGGCCTTGAAAAAATATCTGCTGCGAATGTAATGTCTAAAGCCAAAACCCACGAATACAAATTTGTACAAAATGTAGGTAACAGTATTTTTACTTCCCGAGCGTAAGCAAAGGAAGTATTGTAATCGAGTCCGTCGGCGGACTCTCTACTTTTACGTTTTCTCGATCTTTCATGACCCCTAGAAGACGAAGAAATAGGTCTCCCATTTCCGTCTGTCTGTCCGTCTGTCCGTCCGTCTGTCCGTCTGCCGTCCCGGATTTTTATTAGACAGATAATCTCCGAAAGTACTCGACCGATTGTTGTGAAATTTTGTACTTATATTAAGAATATCATGTAGATGGTAAAACGCTAACCAAAATTTGTCTAATCATCCCCACCACTAATGGGATGACGTCACTTCAAAATTGTACATAGTAAATGGGTTTTCAATTGTATAAAATAACATAGTCCTACACATGTAGTTTACAACTCTGAACCGACTTTTCACCCGAAACGTCCAGATTTTTGGAAAAAAAATCAAAATTATAAAACAACATTTTGAAATTTAATTTTTAATCTGCTAACCAGAATGCTTTGAAATGTTGCAGATGTTTTAAGGCTATAAAGAGCATCATAAATCTTTAGTCAAAAAATATTTGCTTATCCCCTCCAAAAACTTGATGACGTCAGCTCAAAAGTTTGTGGAATAAATCATATCTAAAATGTACAAAATATGATGAGTCTGTACTTGTGATCTATCACTCCATTCATATTTTTTGGATTTGCATATACAGGGTGACTCAAAAAATTAATGAATGCGTAAATTTATTTTACTGATTTACTCAGAAACTACAAAACCGAATGCTTTGAAATCTTGCAGATGTTTTAAGGTTATAAAGAGCATAATAAATGTTTAGTCAAAATATATTTGCTTATCCCCTCCAAAAAATTGATGACGTCAGCTCGAAAGTTTGCCGAATAAATCCTATCCAAACTGTAAAAATATGATGAGTCTGTACTGGTAATTTATCACTCCATTCATATTTTTTGGATTTGCATATACAGGGTGACTCAAAAAAATTAATGAATGCGTAAATATATTTTATTGATTTAATCAGGAACTACAAAACCGAATGCTCTGAAATCTTGCAGATGTTTTAAGGTCATAAAGAGCATAATAAATGTTTAGTCAAAATATATTTGCTTATCCCCTCCAAAAACTTGATGACGTCAGCTCGAAAGTTTGCCGAATAAATCATATCTAAAATGTACAAAATATGATGAGTCTGTACTTGTCATTTATCACTCCATTCATATTTTTTGGATTTGCATATACAGGGTGACAAAAAAATTAATGAATGCGTACATTTATTTTATTGATTTACTCAGGAACTTCAAAACCGAATGCTTTGAAATCTTGAAGACGTTTTAAAGTTATCATAAGCATGGTAAGCTTTTGATCAAAATGCATTTGCTCATCCCCCCTAAAAAATTTATGACGTGACAAAATTTTGCTGAATAAATCCTATCTAAAATGTACAAAATATGATGAGTCTCTTCTTGTGATTTATCATTCCATTCATAGTTTTTGGATTTGCATATACAGGGTGACCCAAAAAAATTAATGAATGCGTAAATGTATTTTATTGATTTAATCAGGAACTACAGAACCGAATGTTTTGAAATCTTACAGACGTTTTAAGGTTATAAAGAGCATAATAAATTTTTAGTCAAAATATATTTGGTTATCTTCTACAAAAAACTGATAACGTCAGCTCAAAAGTTTGCCGAATAAAACCTATCTAGAATATACAAAATATGATGAATCTGTACTTGTAATTTATCATTCCATTTATATTTTTTGAATTTGCATATACCGGGTGACTCAAAAAAAAATGAATGGGTAAATTTATTTTATTGGTTTACTCAGGAACTACAAAACCGAATGCTTTGAAATCTACTGCAAAAAAAAACATAATAGGCATGCAGTCGTCACGTTTCCGACAGCGAGGGAAGTACTGTCTAAACTCTTTAGACCAATTTTTTTTTAATTAATATTTCGTCTTCCGTACAATCATACAGAAATTACAGATTCAAGAATACCTCATTTTTTGTGCGCAGCTTAATTTTCTGTTAAAAAATGCATTAGTGTGTTGTATATTGAGTGAGATTTACGCAAGTTTTAACCATTTTCTCTCCTGTTACAAAAAATGGTGTCAAATTTTTAACAGAATTTCCGTAGTTCCAAGAGTATAACCAATGGAGCATAAAGTCCAGCAAAAGATAAATGCAAACGCGGTCAATCATTTCATGAGGGGTATTTAATACTTTGGAGCGCAACCTGCAATGAAACAATTACTAGATAACAAATCCGGTCCTGAAAAGGTACAAGTGTAGCGACTAATTTTGATTGGCAGCTTTATACAGGGTACAGCTTCGAAAGCGATTGGAGATTTTACAGCGGCTATACTCATAATTGGAGTCATTTGCATTTATCTTTTGCTGGACTTTATCTGCCGAGGTTTTGCACTTAGATCATATGTTTTGCATCGTTAAGGTTATGTATTAATTGTCCATAAGGATAAGGATTTTAAATTGTAATTTGTAAAAAATAAAGTAGCTACTAGTACTACTAGTAAAACCTCACTTCAAAGCGTGTTTTTTAATACATATTTTACCAATTTAACCTAAACAGTCCAGTGTTTCTACAATTTCCAGAAAATTTAAATAGTAAATTTTTGATTTAACCAATAAAAAGTTTTTTAAAGATTACTGCCTTAGTAAAACTTAAAAAAAATGTAGGTTCTGTGGCAAAATATCAAATTTCATTTTACAGATTTTTGATTTTTTTATTAATGTTCAAAAAACTGTGTTGGCAACATCAACGGTCTCCTTGCTCAGTTTGACAGTTACCGTCAAATCAAATAACTGTCAAACAAAGTGTTAAATAGCTGCAAAGCTAACATCATGATTTTAAAAATAAATTCCATGGCTTATTAGAAGGCTTTTTTTGATCAATAAAATTTACTTTATGTAATATATATTTTAAAAATTTTAAATAGCATGATGTTTAATATGTAAAAATAGTTATTATAATAAACACTCGATATCAACCATTTGGACCTCTTGTCAAACCTGTTATCTGCTTGATTTTAACTATAAAGGTGTTCGAGAAACTCATTTTGAAGATAATTTATGTCAGTGTCGGATTGAGAACATGGGGGTTCACTACTACTGTTATTATTATCACATTATCTGTTTTGCTGGCGACATTGCCGTTTTGAAAAAATGATGTTGTTTTTGGAATTTTGATGACTACCAAGAAAAACAAGGCTAGTAAAAAAATTGTGGAAGGTTATTTTGACAGAACTTCCCTCGCCCTTGAAGTAAAACTGTTAACACCTATAAAGTGGCGTAATTAACATCCCCGCAACCCCTGCGCCTTTAAATATGACATATATTTGAAGCAGATAACTGACGGGAAAAATGTAGACATTTCAATTTTTCAGTATATGCTTCGACCGAATTCGACTATTAGCACGTTCAGATTACAAGCATCAGCGGTTAAAAGAAAATGAAATTTGGTTGACTTTGTGTCTTTAATGCAGAGAAAGGACTGATTGATTAATTCATCCTCAGTTTTTTCCCAAAAACACTCATAAATTTGAAGAAATTCAGCAAAAATGTAAGATGACGGACACATTTTGATTAACGATTTACCATGTTTCAAATAATCCTAAAATATTCTTATACAATGTAGATTTTTTTTTCAAAAATATGGATGCTAGGCGTAAAAATACAACATGGATTCATAAATCACAAGTGCAGAAATATGTTAATTTATAAAATTTGAAGAATATTTGTTTGGTAGAACTCTAAGATGGCGTTATAATTTTTTAAGAAGGCCTTAAACGAGCAAATGTTGATTCACGATTTATCATCTTTCTTATAATCTTAAGAAGTTAATTGTAAATACAATTTCGAATTTTTTCCAAAAATCGCGATGTCCATAGTAAAAACTCAACACGGATTCTAA